ACACACACACACACACACACACACACACACACACACACACACACACACACACACACACACACACACACTGTGAGCAGTCAAGCTGTGTCTCATTCACATCGTCACCCCTCTGACATCTGCCTACGTGTGTGTGTGTGTGTGTGTGTGTGTGTGTGTGTGAGGTGGAATAAGTAGGCGCCTATGAAACGAGTGAACCGAGGCGGAACTGGCAGAATATCACACACAACAATATCCTCACAAGTGGCGACACCATCAGAGCAACATGTACACCATGGATGTGCCCCATGCATCAGTGATCATCACATGCTTTGTCCCAACCCTGTCGCCTGTCACAGTGTGTGTGTGTGTGTGTGTGTGTGTGTGAGCAGTGTGTGGTAATGTGTGTTGGACCTCACATGGCTGTGCACCTGCATGCTCACCTGGACAAGAACAGAACAACCACTTTGTCGTCAAAAATGGTGGAAATTGAGTTGTTTCTCCTAACTGACCACTTCCTGCTTACCAGAAAATGACTATGATGCATTAAATTAAATAGAAAACCACTCAGAATGCGATTATTTTCTCCAAATCTTATTTTGTTTGACTTTTATTTGAACGTTTTTTTTAACAAAACACAAGATTACAGCTTTAAATTTCATTGTTTTAAACAGATAAAAAGCTAAAACACTAATAAATGAGCATAAACCATCGCTATTAGCTTGTGTAAATACCCAAACATGATTCATTTATGCCTTTGGGCACTTTTTGAATCCCTTACAAGTCTTTTCCCCCCTGTCAATATCATTTGAAATATGGAACAAGTTTGCATTTTGTTTTGTTTTTAAACTCCAGTTAAATTTCCACCTGCTTCACCACGTCAGCTCTGATTAAACCAGCTTCTGCTTTAAGTCGGAACATATTGGGATGTAATTTACAAAGTTTTCTTTTGTTTTTCCAGCAACATATGTCCGGATCACCCAAGTTTTAGGAATAAACTCCCTGTTTGACAGAAAAAAATTAATAAAAAATAAAAATCTGCTGTGTTGTCAGCGTTGTTTTTGTAGTCAGAGTACACAGCTGTCATTTACTGGAACAGGAGGAAGAGATAAGAGAGGAGGGGTGTCAGCTGGCAGAAGGCCTCCGTTTCTTACCTGTTGCTGCAAACAGAACGCCGCGCTCGTCGTGGATTGATTGCATCCGGTGTCAGTCAAACACCTGAAAATGATTTACTTATTTGAGTTGATGGACCAAAGCACGGCGTTTTGCATAAAAAAATAAAACTATTCCTTCTTTAAGCCCGCAGCTGCAGATACGGAAATGTTTGCAGATAAGGTGCATTCCAMGCAGCTCCAAGGCCTGAAATTCTTGTCAGCGAGGAGTCGTGACGTTGTCCAGAGTCTCCACCCGGCAGCTCCGGCAGCGAGCCTGTGTTTGTTTGTGTTTGTTGCTCCGTCTGGGCTTCCCGCAGCTCTGTGGTGTCAACCTGCCCACCTTCCTCCCRTCAGAGCTGAGGAACACAGGGCCTGCTGCCACACAGAGGCTTCCTCCTGGACTGACTGAAGTGCTGGCTGTTTCCCACATGGTTGGAATTCAACACCGGCCTGTTTACTGGTCCCCGTGTGGCTCCCTCTCTCTCTCTCCCCCCACACTTTCCTTTCACATTTTTTATTTTATTTTTTAACATCATGCACACTCAGCACAAGTTTCACACCTCTAGGTTTCCCACAAACCTCCCACCATCCCACACATCATGCTCGAAATCAAACGGTCAGCTGGTTCTTGTTTTTTTTTTTTTATTTTTTTTTGGAAGCTTTATTACAAAAACAGTTACGTTTCCAGTCACATGACTATCAGAGTTTTGAACCAAAGTGCTCGAAAGGAACAAGCCGAATGGAACGTATAAAGCTGGCATCTGGAAACAGGAATGTTTCGAGACTCACTAGAGATTTACTGTTTTCACAAATATCCACGATAAAAAACAAAACAAAACAAAACATAAAGCTAAGGAACCAATCAGGCGTCGGCCTTTACAGTCAGCTGAATKTCAACAACAAATAAGCTTGAAGCGGCGTCTCTGTCTTCACAATGCCATTGTTTTCTCTCCCTATAATTCATGTGCTTTTATTTTTTTTATTTTTTATTTATTACTATTATTTTCTTGCAGCAGACAGTAAATCATACAGTGAATCAAAGGAAATAGTATACATCTCAAGGCAAATGTTAACAAGATGAGGAGGTGCATGCAAAAATGAGAATCTTCTTTCTCCACTGATTGGTTTTTCTTTTGTCTTTTTTTTTWAACTCCCTTCCCTCGGCACARCCAGATGGCAAAGCTCCAGCTCTGCAGTCCTCTTCATACACTCATCACGTTTGATGGGCATCCTGCTGCCGAGTTTCAAGAAGGCCGTGTGTGTGTGTGTGTGTGTGTGTGTTTTATTTTTATTTTTTATTTTTTAAACCCAAACGACACTCGTGACAAGAGAAAACTTCGATTTAGCAAGATGATTCTCCAATGGTGTGTGTGTGGGGGGTGGGGGGCAGCGTTTGTGTAGCTTTCAATGTGTGTGTGTGTGTGTTATGAGGATTTTGTACTCCTAATATAAGAATGTGTGTATACGTGTGTGTGTGTGTTCATACCAATAATATCCATATTCTCTCAGTTTCACAACCTGGGATGTTGTTGTTCCATCACGTCCTAACTTTCTACGCTTTTTAAAATATGTTACAAGTAAATTATTATATTTTTGTCCATATACAACTCCAATACAGATTCGTTTTTCACAATGATAGCATAAATATCTGACATTGTGTCTCTTTTGTTGATAGATTCAAACATTCAGGACAAACTTCAGTTCAAAAAAGAGAGAGAAAAGAAAATCATTCGTTGTACATTTGCAACTTAAACAGGTTTCGTTGTCGTTTATTTGTTCTCAATATGCTATCGTCTTATCCTAATATTGTCTTTGTCTTCAATGGTGAGGAATTCCCATCAAAGTTTTCCCCTTCTCTTAATACTTTAGGGAATTTTCAAACGTCGGGATGTATGGCTGTAATGCCCCAAGATTTGTTCTCCCTGAAAGAAACGATAGAGTAAGAATATATTAACTACAGAGCAACCTGGCTTTACGGGGTCTGCATTTATTCTTACTTCATTTTAGATTTACCAATACGATTATGCATAAATATATACTAAATATGCATCAAAATGTGCTTTGCAGCATTCCTTTTCTTGAAAATTTAAAGCCATGTTCATGCATTAAAAAGCAATTTCATGTTTCTGACTGCAGGGTTTAGATGCAAATCCATGGGGCATTACGTTAAAAAAAACAAACCATAAACATCATAAATTAGAAGAGAGAAAGAAAAATGGAGGCAAAAAAAGGAAAGAAAGAAAGAAAGAAAATGAAGAACGTTTAGCCTGTCGTTAATAACTGAACGCTCCCACGTTTATTATTTTTTTGTTTTGTTTTTTTTTTCTGCTGATGTGCGAAAATCAAAGGTTGCATTCGAGAAAGAAACACAGGGACAAAAAAATGGCAATGAAAAACAAAAACCCATTTAAAGCAAAGTATTTTTTGTTTATTCACACAAATTTAATAAGATATATAACAACCGTTTGGTCCATAAATATTTAAGGGGAAATAGTTTCTATACACCATCTTTATCAAGAAACAGGGAAACATGGACAATCTTGATAGAACACTTACTGTACTCAACTATTAACACGAAGATCAATATATAAGGTTCTTGGATTACCCGACTATATCTGAAAGAGTGCACAAATGCTTTCTATGACATCGCTGCCCCCATCCCCCCCTTTTCCCTTTGTGTTGTAATTTTTTTTTCTTTGACTKTTTTTTTATTTTAACAGGATACACCATAAAAAGATCTTCGGAAATAAGATGCAAAACAGTACAAAACTAGTGAGGCGCCAAAAGGATGTGAATCAGTTAACAAAGAACACATAGATCCTGAATTTCACAAACTTTCTCCCAAGTTATAGCGCAAGGCACATGGTAGAACTGAGTTATAGGCGTCTACTTCATGAAGTAGAGCAAGAGGGCCACTTTAGTTCCACAAAGGAACAAAAACTGTGACGCTCGCAATGAGATGTGATCGAGATTTGCTCGCTCGGTTTCGTTCCCCTCTCTCTTCCTTCTCTCTGTCTGTCAGCCAGAAGAAACATTTTCTTTTTTTTTTTTCTTTTTCCCTTCTTTTTGGTCTGATCAGTGGCAATTGTTGGTAAAGAAAGTGTAAATATGGCTCAAACAGGAGAACACATGGACGGTGATTTCCCACTGGCTGCCCCGCCCCCTTCCCTCACGGCTCCACCCATCTGAGGTCATTTGACAATTTGGGTCACCTACTCTGTTTGCAGCTTCGCAACCACTTTTCCCTTTCCTCCCCCCACTTTTTTTTTWAAAAAAAATCACCCTGAGCAACACGATAGGAACAATAATGCACTTTTCTCTGGGCAGTATATTGTCACTGTGCAACTGAGTTTAGCTGTGGGTCTGTGGAGATGCTGACCAGGTTTTGTTCTTCTCTATTTTGTTAAGCTACAATTAATCCATGAGACCAAATAAAAAAAAGTGCTCTGATATGACGACAGCTGATTACGACAGTGCCCATAAACTCGGAATTTCTTATGCTCCCTACTCGGCGTCACAGTTAAGTTGTGAATTACGACAACAAAAAAACAAAAGCTTCTATCTGTCAGCTAGGTGCTTCTCAGTGGTCATTTCGGTTCGTGTTTCCATGTAGCTCTGTGAAAATGTCCGATTCCAGCAAAACCCAAGATGGAAAACATTCGGAAATAATTAAAGCCTGTTTTCAACAGAACATTCTACGAGTTTGTTTTCCAAATTATTCCAAAGCAGGACAAAGAAAATAATAATAATAATAATAATAATAATAAAAAGATCTTTAAATTGGACAGTGCGAACACAGTGCATACATATACATAGTGTTTTTAATTTTCTTTCCAATAATCATAAATTAAGGAGGGCTTGTTTGAACATATTGCAATACAAATGTACAAAAAAATAGTCAAATCAGGCAAATATTCTTGCTTTACAGGCAATATTTAAGTGAATTTTTCTGTAAATGATTTGTGACGTCCAAGACAATTTTCTAATTAACTCCAGGAAAACGTCCAAGAAATCCAGAATCGCTCTCTGCACTTGTGCCGTGCAGCTTCCAAATGCTACTTATTCAAATTATCTCCTCGGGTTTTTAAAAGTGGTCGCCGCTGTCGTTGTTCTCGTTCAAAGCACAGAACTTTTTCCTCTTTTGTTTGTTGTTTTCTCCCCCCTCCAAGGAGCTGTTTCCGCTTGATTTTTAAAGGTGTCATTTAAAAAAAATTAATTGAGAAGAGGAACGAAAACAAAATCAGGGAAAGCCAAAAAAAAAAAAAAAAAAGGAAGAAAGAAAATCAGATCAAATCACAATCAGTCTGATAGAGATAGCTTGTTAGAAAAGGTTTGTCAAGGTAGTTTGCGAAGGGCTCCCCGAATCATGGCTGTCCAAACTAGAGGTGACGGAGGTCACTACAGTGATAGAGGGGTTTGTCAGGTCTGTTAGTGTGGCCGCGCTGGAGGGGGGGGTCAGGGCCCCACTGTCGGATGAGGGCGGAGGGAGTGAGGTGCCATCAGCCTTATCAACACCTCCATTCTCCTGTCGCAAAACGTTCCTTCTGAATTTGGCTCTTGCGTTTTGGAACCAAACCTGCAAACCAATCCCAATGTGGCTTTTACTTTTCTGCTTAATTAATCCTTTTTTTTCTCTTTTCTTTAAAGAAAAACTACCAAATCATTCGTACAAACGTTTACATTCTCTCATCTCTAGTACATAAAACTCAGTCAAATAAAAAAAGGTGGATTTTTAGAAGAGAGAGGGAAAAAAATAAAAATCCAAATCTAATTTATTTTTTAAAGCGAGAGCTCAAAAGGTTTAATAATGTAACAAATTTTAGCTTATAGATTTGCTTTGCTTCTCTGATAAAAAC